CTTACCATTATTGAAACCTAATTGAGTGGAGTGGTGATTCTAAATTGCTCTTCATTCTGTACACTAACAATGAAATTACCAGAAGCTGTTATATTTTTCGTTTTTTGATTTGTTAGAACATGTGTGCTCCATATACATCGCATGAAAAGAAGTCGACCTGGAAAAACCATTTTTCTATTTATGCATTTCTGTTTGTGAAGAATAAATGGCGGGTGATTCTCATTTGGCCATAATTTTTTTTTTAAAATTTTTTTGAATTCAATCTAATTATTGTTGGAATAATTGGTATTATTTATAGTGAATTGGAATAAGTCTCCAATAGGTGGCACAACTCTTCAAATGCAAATGATGCGTATCAAAAAATTGTTTCGAATGGGTGTGACCTTTTGATAACGTACGATTTAGACCATTAATTTTGAAATTATGTCATCTAATGGTTAGAATTAATTTGATCATAAGATGTGACCCTTTGAAGAGACTCAAATCTATAAATAGGACCCTTCTAATTCAATTTTCTTCACTCCAAATCAATTCCTAATAATTGATTTCTAATTCTCTCTTTCTCTAAATTCTATAATTTCCAAATTACTTTTCAGTTTCACCTTCGATATTTTGTGTTCGATATATTTCTATCTAGAAGAGTATAGTCAAGCTTTGGTTCGTCCGACAAAATTAATATTGTGCTGTATTAGCACCAATGCAGGGGCGAAATCCATTAACAAACAATTTTGGAAGAAGCGTTGTATATTGTGAGACAGATGTCCATTTGATCTTATTAGCACCAATGCAGGGGCGAAATCCATTTTAAGGAGATTTGCATTCACATACCGCTTCATTTCATCTCCTTCATATTTTTACATTTGAGTAAGTCACGAGTTGGTCATTATTATGCACGCACCATGATTTCGGTAAGTCGTTATTCTATTCAAATTTGCATGCACGTATATTTTTATTAACGGAATATAATTTATGCACTAATTTATCCAACAATCCTAAGACGAATTTTCTCGTGCTAATTTATATTCTAAGGAATAGTTCACGCATCTAATATATTCTATTTGTTTAGCATTAATTATCATAACTGCATATCAACGTAACAACATTCTATGAATGGAATACAAATGATTAATGTATAAATATTATAATGCATTCAACCTTAGAATTATCTAGTTGACTCTCTGCATGCATAATCTGCTGATATATTGTATGAATTAATTTTGTTTTGTAAGCTTATTTGAAAGTGTTTACTCCAATCGGTATATGTATTGGGTTGTGTTAATGGAAAGATTGCCGTTTCATATTCCACAATTAAATTCACGTGTAAAAGAATTTTTTTTTTCTGTGTAATTGTCTTATAATTTTTTTAATTATGGAGAAGAGCATGACTTCGTAGCAGCCTTATAAGATAAAAAGACACCAATATCATATTTTATGTTAAAAACGAATGATATGCCAAAGGGTATGTAATTGTTTTAGTTTCAAGGAAAGAGAAGTGAAAATAGAAGTTTTCATTTAATATAGTTTTTGCATCTAGTTACTTAGTAGTACTAAATGTTTAAACCTTTGTTTGGATACAAAT